CTTTAGCCTTTAATATGTTTCTGGTCGATGGCATTCTAGGAGAGATCTCTCTATGATCCATCTTCTGTGCTCTGGCTGAAAGAAGAAGGTTGTTCAAGATTTTATGTAACATGACCATATCCAGTGGACCCTCAACGTGATGAATCGTCCTGCACCCCCAGCAGAAAAAGAGCATAGCGTTCTCACCTCTGTGCTTGACTGCAGGGATGGGATCTTTGGGGCATATTCAGGATTTCTCTTCCTCCAAACACAGCAAGCTGAATCTACGTCAAAAACCCTGATTTTGGTTGCATTTAACCAGAGCATTTTCTTTTTTTTCTCTATTTTCTTAGGATGCTTACTGACAAACTTAAGATGGGCCTGTAGATGGGTCTTCTTGAGCAGGGGCTGGGGTTGGTTGCAGGCTCTGCAAGAACTCTGACCATTACGGTGTAGAGTGTTACCAAAGGTGTTCTTAATGAATGTGGTCCCAAATGCTTTCAGACCATTAACAAAATCTTCACTAATAATAATGTGTCGCAAGTGCCTGACCGAGGGGTACAACTAGTGATCATTTCATATTTATTTTATTTTCAAATAATCACTCCATCAGTTGTCACCTTCTTACAAAGCTTCTTGCTAAAGCTACTGAAGTTTATTTTAGCTTTGTGCAGAACAACTAGTCTTTTCTTTGGTGTTGGTAGGAATCCCTTTTGTTTTGCCCATGGAGGTAGACTGGTGTGCTTTATACACATAGGAAGTGATCAGAAGGGTCTGTAGTGGACTGATTGTAATCTGTGTGCCATATAACTAATTTCCTGCTTTTTGGATTCAGCTGGTTCCTGGTCTATCAACAAACAAGAAAGTCGTCTGCAGCAAATTTGACCTTGGTCGGGCTGCTTGCCTTTTGATGGCTTGGTTCGTGCCTCAAGCACCCAGACTCAAATGATTTTGGCAGGATGGATCAGATCTCAGGGATTACTCTCAGGCACGGTCCAGTGGTGCGGCAATTTAATTTGGACGTTTCGGAATAGAGAGGACCGACACAGACTCAAGGTAGACGTAATCTGTAAAGCTTTGCCTGTCCCCAAAACAATCGCGTTTAACTGAATTCGGCTTCCTGACTGGCCTCGACAGGCCATCTTATCTTAATTCGCCTAGAAGCTATGTAAACCTTGATGCTCTGCCCCTCCCCCCTTCTACCACCGAAGAAGTCTACTGACCAATCAGAGGGGCCCAGCTGAATAAACATTCTGTCATCATTTCAGGACTCTTTGGATTCTATCTGACATCGTCCTTGGCCGTCCTCTGCATCCCCCGAGAGTGTACGGATCTCTCCAGAGGGAACTATGTAAACTTGAGCGATTACTACTCTTATCAGAACTCTTGCAGTGCCTCTATGTGTTGTCTCTGGACATGCTCACCGTCCTTGCGCCCCCCACCGTGGAATGTCCGCGT